GATCATATGATTGTCTGATTTAAAATGTCCCAGGCCAATCCATCTCTTTTCACCAATATCTAATATGTCAATATTTATTGTTCCATTTCTTTCTTAATGATGCCCAATTTTCTGACATTCATACTTCTCACATTTAATGTTCCAATCACTAGTGTCTGCTTATGACTGTTTCTCTTCCTTTGTGTTTCTATACTTGAGGGCTCAGCCTCAGTTAGAAAAATAAAAATTCTGACTACATACCAATATATTTTCCTATTCTAGGAGAATAGAATCAAGAGGAAACATCATAATTAAAATAGGAGTTTAGTTAGATATTGCTACTGGTTCAATTTTATTTTTAAAAAACCTTTGAGATTACACAATAATCAGATAGAAATTAGTAAAGAAGGTAATTTCATCCAAATGAGCTCAAATAGGAAAGTAAAACACCCTCTTACTTGCCTGAAGCTTGTTGACTAAAATTTTTATATCTGGGAAACAAATTCTTTCTCAAACAGAAACTGCTGCCACCTTGTAAAAGTCACCTTCCTAGTTTATTTTTCTCTCCTTAGTTATGCTCAGCATAGCTTCCCTGTCCTCTTAATTAGAAATCCTATATTTTGACAAGCACCCAGCATAAGAGTTCTAGCAGTGAGGAAGCTCTAGTGGCCTAGTGGCAAGAAACTGCACTATAATCCCAGAGGTGCACGGTTTGAATCCACCAGATACTCTGCTGGAGGAGAGACAATCTCCTCCTGTAGGGGTCAGATTTGATTTTATGGCACACATGCAACACACACACACACACACACACTCTCTCTCTCTCTCTCTCTCTCTCTCTCACACACACACACACAAGCTCTACCAATAAGAGAAATGAGTTCATTTTTGATTGCAAATTTTCCTTTGGTTGCTAAGATACTAAGGTAATTAATTTCTATCTTAGGCATCCCAATGCAGGCTGAGCTTGTCTGCATCTCTGTGTCTCAGTGCTGATAAGTTTGACCTGTGAAGGCTAGAGGAAGTCTTGTTCAGTCCTGAAGTCAAAAGCAGATGGGCCTTGAGTAGATTTTGCTTGGTGGCACAAAGAGCTTCCTTGTATCTGTAAATATCTAGATCAAGTTGTGTGCAGAAAGGTTGACAAAATTATATTTACAGAAAATTATTTTTACAAATAAAGTACACATTTTAATAAGAAAGAAACCTATACTCTCCTATTTGCTTATTTGATGTGATCATAATAGTAAACATCTGATTGGTTTATTTTTTAAAACTTACTTTCTTCCACTTCAGAATATTAGTTTATTTTTTCTTTCTTGGTAAAATATTATCTGGGTGATGGAAAAGCTCCAGTTTACAGCTATACCTGACTGTTGAAAATGTTCAAAATAATGGGAGTAAATCACACCTTAGTTTAATGTCAAGTTAAAGAAATATCTGCAATGTGAGGTTCCTTGTTTCAATGATGTTTGCTTATTTTCTTAAGTTTAGTACAGTTTGTCCATTCAGTAATTTTAGCAACCATCGAAAGAACATTTATGGAAGTCTGTGTGCTACACTCTTTCTTAAGTCTTCCAACAACAATAATGGGGGGTGGGAACCACCCAAACCCAGCCTAAAAAAGCTTTTAATCTTTTTGGAGCTTACATTTAGTTTGAAGAGACAAAATAACAGAAAGCATTTCATTATATTAAAAAATTTAATGATATCAACAACATCGCCTTCTGGGTTTTTTATCCATTGGTTCAAAAGGAGTTTACTTTGACATCTTTTGGCTAAGTTCAATCTTTCTTTTTCCACCATAATATTCACTTGGATCTGAGATTAATGATTTTGTTTATATCTCTCATAAATATTTCTCTTTAATTTTTTCTCCAGCGATCATTTTGTTGTGCACTCATCAGTGACACAGAAATATATGATCAAATAAAACAATAAAACACATTTTAAAAACCCATCATCTACACTGTATTGACATTCCAAAATCAAGAGCCATCACATACTAAACTGTTGAGGATAGTAACCTAAGAGTTTAAATAGTTTGTGTAAATATTTATAGGATAGTACTAAAAAGTTACGGTTTCCCAAAGACATATAAAGTTTCCTAATAATGTATAATGGTAGCATTGATGAGTTAATGATGCAAGGAAATCAAATATAACTTCCTTCTCTATTCTGAGACATGTCTACTAAATATTTGTGGATTAATTCTTCTTGTACACTGTTGAGTCCAAGCTGACCCACCGATGACCCTACAGTGGGTTTTTAGAAGCTGTAAATTACATGGAAGGAGATTACCCATCTTTCTCCCACAGAGTAGCTGGTGGATTTGAAGGGCTTGCCTTTGGGTTGGCACTCTAGCTCCTTATCTGTAGCAACTTGAATTTATAGTTAGAAAAAGAAATTAATGAAAAAATTTAACCTTCACATTTTGCTAAGTAGGGAGCTCTGGTGGCCTCCTGAAGGCATGTAGTTCAAAGTTACCAGATGCTTCTATTCCACTATTTATATTTTTACTTTATATTAAATTTTGATAGAATTATACATTTTATTAATACAGAAAACATATATTTGTTAAAATTTTTTCAAAGAGCTAAAAACTAAAACTGTTGTTGTGTATAGTAGAGTGAGAACTGACCCATAACTGACCCTCCAGCAGGTTTTCAGAGACAGCTGGTCAATCACATTGGAGGAGATTGTCCATTCTTCTCCAGTGGAGCAGTGGGTGGCCTCAAACCATAGGCCTTTGGGATTGCAGCAAAGCTTGTTGGAACTAGGCCATAAGAGCTCACTATAAATACCTAAAATACTACAGCTTTTTTTGCCAGCAATTTTTTAAATAATTAGATAGTAAATTTAACTTTTATTTTATACATATTAAATAATATATATACTACTATCGTTTAATAAACATAAACGAGGGTTTATTCCACATAGAGGAAATACTGGTTGCCTAGTGTGTAGACAGTTGTACTACCAACCCAGACACTAGTAGTTCAAATCTACCAACTACTCTGTGAGATAATATGGTCAATCTCCCCCTGCCCTAATACAATTTATGTTGTTGTTGTTTTTATGTGCCGTCGAGTCGTTTACGACTCATAGTGACCCTATGCACAACAGCGATAAACCCTGCTCTATCCTGCACCAACCGCACTGCCTCTGACACACCCATCCCGATTACCCCAGTCACCGAATCAATCCATCTCATAGAGGGTCTTTCCCTCCTGCGCTGCCCCTCCCCCCTCCCAAGCATGATGTCCCTCTCCAAGGACACATCCCTCCTGGCAACATGTCCAAAGCATGTCAGACGAAGCCCCAGAATCCTTGCCTCCAAGGAGTAGCTTGGTTTAATCCTCTCCTAGATAAATCTGTTTGTTTTCCTGGCAGTCCACGGTACATTCAGTACTCTTCTCCAGCACCACAGCTGAAAGGCATCAACTCTCCTTCTGTCCTCCCTAGTCATTGTCCAACTCTCTGATGCATAGCAAGCGACTGCAAATACAATGGCCTGTATTAGGTGCACCTTAGTCTCCAGAGAGAGACCGTTGCTCCTGAGTACTTTAGAGAGGTCCCTAACAGCAGACTTTCCCATCATGATACACTTTTTGATTTCCTGACTGCTGGGGCCAAGAGTGTTGACTGTGGAGCCGAGCAAACTGAAGCTGTGAACAATCTCAATCTCTTCGCCATCCATCCTGACGCTGCCAATTGGTCCAGTGGAGTCTTTGTCTTCTTGACATTGAGCCTCAGTCCATTCTGAAGGCTGCAGTCCTTGACCCTTCGCAGCAAGTGCATGAGGTCTCCTCAGTTTCAGCAAGCAGGGTTGTGTCATCTGCATAACACAGATTGTTAATAGATCTTCCACCAATCCTGATGCCACAATTCTCCTCATAGAGCCCAACCTCTTGGATAATCTGTTCTGTATACATGTTGAAAAGGTATGGAGACAGGCTGCATCCCTGGTGTACACCCTTCCCAATTTTGAACCATGCAGTGTTACCCTGCTCTGTTCTGACTACTGCCTCTTGGTCCAAGTATAGGTTTTGCATTAGCACAATTTAATGTTCTGGGATTCCCATTCATCTCAGAGTCAGCCACAGTTTGTTATGATCCACACAGTCAAATGCCTTTGAATAATCAATGAAACACAGATAGACATTCTTCTGGTATTCTCTGCTTTCAGCCAAGATCCATCTAACATCTGCAACAATATCCCTAGTACCACAACCCCTTCTAAACCCAGCCTGGACTTCTGGTAGTTCTCTGCTGATGTGCTGTTTTAATCGTTTTTGGATAATCTTCAGTAGAATCTTGCTTGCATGTGAAATCAATGACACTGTTCTGTAGTTTCCACACTCAGTTGGGTCACCTTTCTTTGGAATGGGAACAAATATAGATCTCTTCCAGTCAGTTGGCCAAGTGGCTATTCTCCAGATTTCTTGGCACAACTTGGTGAGCACATCCAGGGCAACATCTGTTATCTGAAATACTTCAATTGGTATACCATCTATTCCTGGGGCCTTATTTTTTGCTATTTCCTTCAAAGCAGCTTGAACTTCTTCCTTCATCACCATAGGCTCTTGCTCATATGTTATTTCATTACATTCTTCTGTATCTGCCAATTCCTTCCTATACAATGACTCAGTATATTCCTTCCATCTTCTTTTAATAATTCCTGGATCATTTAATATTCTGCCCAAGGTATCCTTGATTACAGCAACTCTAGGTTTGAATATAGTTTTTGAAAAACCACTGGAAGGTTAAATATGAGTTAGTTCTGGCTGGACAGCAAGGATTTTGATATTTCTTGGGGTTGTTTTTCTTACAGTATCCCATATTGATATGTTCATAAATGTCTTTATCATAACACAAACTAAAATATTTTGAACATTAAACAGAACAACCAAAAAAGTGACAAAATATTATAAAAAGAATTTATAAATTCTTTCTTCTTAATTATATGTAAGTTTTCTTCTTAATTATATGTTTAGTTCATAGATTAAAGATTTCTCCAACTTTCAAGTACACTTCAATTGCCACCATATCAAAAGAAAGACCTTTCTTAGCTTACTATTTCCCATAATCAAGACAAATGAGTGGACTGAAGGATAAGCAATTTCAAGAACATGAAAAAAGAACATACAATCATCAGAAATGTTAAAACAGAAAAGAATTGGAAGAAAACATAGGAAATAAACCGCAAACAGGAAAAGGAAAGAGATGACAGTTTTCATGGCTGTTATATGGGCCTTGGCGCTGAAATCTCTTGATCTTGCTGCACTGACCTTCATATTCTTGAGATGTTTCCACAGAGAGAAAATTAACAGGATAAAAAAAGTCATGGATGCAGAAAAGGGTATGATATATTCAAAAATGAATACAGTCAGTCTTAAAGATGTTCTGGTGTCACTCCATGTCACATTGTTTTCACGTGTGAATTCATAGTCATAAATATATCTGTTAGTCATTGTAACATTGAAAGGCAAAAAGACTAATATTCCCAGAAACATTACCAGAACTACTTTTTCAATTTTCTGCTTTAGGTAAAGAAAAACAAGATTTGAAAAATTCGCTACCTTGAGAAAATAAAAGAGGCTGAGGATTGTGGCAAGCCAGACACTAAAATGGTTAGCCACTCCCCAGCAAGTACCAATAAATAAAAGATATTTTCTATTCAAACGTTCAAATGACTCATACTGCTGTGATAAGCAACTCAACATTATTGACAAAATCAGACAGATTCTGGAGATCACCAAAGCAGTGAGGATTTGGTCTAGTAAAGAGATCTTTCGCATCTTGACCCAGTCAATGCAGTTCACCAGTACGATGAATCCATTTCCCAAAATCCCAATTACGAATTCTGTACTGAATATGATGGTGAGGCTTTTCTGCGATACACTTACCATGTCTGTAAATGGAGAGCCTGAAGGTCCATTGCAAAATTAATTCATGATTTACCGGCTGAAATTATTGGTTTATTTACTTATTGAACATGCAGTCAACTTCTTTCTTTAAAAAGTCATGTGCTTAATATCAAGGCAGAAAACACTAAGGTATAGTAATGTATGGGCACCTAACTCTCTTAATAGAAAAGAATTTTTTCTCAGCCAGCTAGCGGCACATTGATCCAGGCACTCTATATCTTTGACATCAAATAAAATTCCTCATACTTGATGTAGAAAAACTCCAAATTCTAATTTGCTAGCATGCAAATTAAGACATATTCTCTTTCATCGCTGTTCCAATGTTTATCTCATCTTCATATAATTTGTTAATTATATGAAAGCTAATATCTAAACTATTGAAAATATAAACAGAAAAATATGAGGGATACAAGGGCAACACTTTCAAGTGTTTAGGTCCCCACATTCCACCCTAAAAAAAAAGTATAAATCTGACACTTTCCAGGGCACTAGGCAGAAAGGTACATCACTTTTCATAAGAGTGGAAACAAAGGTGAGAAAATTAAGTGGGAAGAGAAGATGAACTCTCATGATGCTTTAAAAGGGATATAGAATTTAGGAATAGGGAAAGGTTGGACTTATTCCAAAGAAGCCCTCTAAAATCACTCTCCTACTTGTAGCTACACAGGCATGCATGCACACAGAAAAGAAAAAAAAAAGGGGGGGGGAAATTCATACTGAATAAAGACATAGAGCAGGTAAGGCAACAGAGAAAGTAAGAAAGTTCCCACATACTGTACCTTAGTAAACAGATATATAACTAGGCTAAAAACAAAAGAAAGGCAGGAGAAGAGAGGAGACAAAAGGAGCAGAGAAGGAGGGGAGAGGATGAGATGGAGGTGAAAAGAAAAGCGGAGAGGATAGGGTAGAGGATCAGGTGAGCTGATTCAAGTAATGATTTTTTCAATCATCTTCAGAAGGGATCGTGGTACTAGGGATATTGTAGCTGATGTTAGATGGATCTTGGCTGAAAGCAGGGAATACCAGAGGAATGTCTATCTGTGTTT